ACCCAACACCGGATCGCTCCATGTCCCTCTGCAGAGAGCCCGGAGTGAATGGTTTATCACAGAGCAGAAGGGATGGGGAAGGGAACACTGAAAAAAATCCCCGTTGTCTGTGATCCCCCATGAAATAATCTGGTCACAGGTTATGTTGAGAAGTCACTTGCTTTGTGCAAGGGTGTCCAGGACAGCCACGGGACCATGAAACCTGAGTGGCTGCACAGGGGTGAGGATGCTCACTAGGCACCCTAGGAGTGGGATTTGGAGGGTGCAAGGGGAAGGTGATGGCTGTTTGCCTCTGGTCTCTACCCCCACAGCGGGACTGAGGTCCCCAGTGCAGAGGCTGAATGGGACTGATGAGGCATCGGGGGCTGTCGTGTCCCCTAAAACTAAACTGGGATTTAACTCGTGGAGGAGGGAGAATCAGTATTAGGCAATCAGTCCTCATCCCAGCCTTCGCCACCGCCCTGCTTGAAGCAGTGGGAAAAATCCCAAAGCCTTTTCTCTTCCAGTCTGTCATTTTTGTGTCACGGGGCTGAGGCTGTCAGGAATGTCTGGGGCTGTCAGAGGTGTGTCATGGCCATGGCCCAGGGAGCTCTGGCTGCAGAACCTCTCCTGGCACTCCCCTCTGGGGAGGTGAATGAACCACACAGCACACAGAAATCATATCTGCCCATCTTTACTTCAAAGCAAGGAACACCGTCGCAGTCACAACGTGAATACAGTGCTAGGAACCCCACTATGAGTGCAGCTTTTCCTCCACGGCAGGTCTGTTTCGCAATCATTTTCCCTTTTTGGGTGGAGGGATGCAGCAGTACATCTTCCCGCAGGACTGGCTGAAAGTCCACTCGTCCCTTTTGGCACACATGTGGGAACAGTACCCCCCACAAGCACCCTTAGGCTGCCCGTACCCTGCGATGGGAGGAGAGAGAGATGGGTTATAAGAGAAAATGTCAGACACTGTAGGACGACAGAGATCCGTAAGTTATCTGTTTGCTGGCTCCAGGGTGGTACTGATGCACCAGGTACTGCTGGGTTTAGACCCACATAGGGTAGGGCCCATCCTTTCAATCTCTGTTGAGCTGCGGGGCCACTGCACTCTTAGAAGTCATCCCTCTACACATGTCAGTACTACAGCTTGCTGGCAAGATCCCTCTGCATGAGCTCAAGAGCCAGGCTTTTGTAGCGTGGCATTCATCTCATCCCAAATTGGTTGTGCGAGCTAGGTTGGGTAAATCATCAGCCAGAGCCCGCTGCAGGTAGCTGATCTCCACTGCCAAAGCTGGGTGAGATGAACCTCCTCCCTTCACCCCAAGGCACAAAGGCTGGAGAGGGGACAGTCACACCTACCCCCGGCCTCGGGGCTTTCACCACCCCCATGCATTGCCGTCTTACCTGGGGTGGCCAAGGAGAAAAGCAGGAGCACAGCAAAGACCACACAGAGAACCCTCATGTCTGGAGGCCAGCAGAGATCTCAGCACACCGAGAGCAAAGTGGGTCTGAGATGGCCACGGTGGGGGACCTTGGAGGCCCTGGCTTTTATAGAGGGACTCCTGCCACAAGCAGAGCAGCGGGAGGAGAAATTAAGCAAACCCATCTTTGTTGTTTGCTTTCTGGCGTGTGCAATGTCACCCCGACCCGCTGGTCCCACTCACAAAGGCACCAGGTCCATGCTCCAGTGGGCTTCTCCTCGCCGCTCGCCGGCTGCCTTCACCAACCCGGACACACGAGGACAATTCCCCCTCCTCCAGATCCGGCTGCCAGGACTCTGCCGCCAGCAGACACGGAGCTGCTCGGCCCAGCTCTGCTAGACCCAGCTCCAGCCAGGGGTGCTGACAGCAGAGGTGCAGAAATTAAATCTGGGCACCTTTCTGATGATGCACCAGCACTGGACGCTGTCTGCAAGGCACAGACACAATGCACAAAACTTGGCCATCAAATCCATTTTCAGGGTGCTTCCATCCCCAACCAGTGCAATGGCAGTGAGGTTCTTCAAGGGTCTCCCTCAAAATGTGGAAACATATTCATAGAATCAGAACCATAGAGCTGGTTTGTGTTGGAAGGGACCTTTAAAGGCCATCAAACCAACCCCCTGCAGTGAGCAGGGACATCTTCACCTACATCAGGCTGCTCAGAGCCCCGTCCAACCTGACCTTGAACCCTTCCAGGGAGGGGGCAGCCACCTCCTCTCTGGGCAACCTGTGCCAGTGTCTCACCACCCTTTGCTGTAAAAAATGTCTTCTTTATATCTAGCCTGAATCTACCCTCTTTTAGTTTAAAACTACTACTCCTTGTCCTATCACAACAATCCCTACTAAGAAGTCTGTCCCCATTTTTATTATAACCCCCCTTTCAGCCCTGGCGGCCGCTCTAAGGTCTCCCTGGAGCCTTCTCTTCTCCAGCTGAACCCCCCAACTCTCTCAGCCTGTCTTCACAGGGGGGCTCCAGCCCCCCAGCATCTCCGTGGCCTCCTCTGGCCCCGCTCGAGCAGGTCCATGTCCTTCTGCTGTTGGTGCCCCCGAGCTGGACCCAGCCCTGCAGGGGGGTCTCACAGAGCGGAGCAGAGGGGGAGAATCCCCTCCCTGGCCCTGCTGCCCACCCTGCTCTGGGTGCAGCCCAGCACACGGGTGGCTTTCTGGGCTGCGAGTGCACATTGCTGGGTCACGTCCAGCTCTGCATCCACCAGTGCCCCAAGTCCTTCTCCAAGGGCTGCTCTCAATCCCTTCATCCCCCAGCCCATATTAATATTTGGGGTTGCCCCAACCCATGTGCAGAACTTAATTTTCATCCCATTCATTTGGCCCAAGACCTATTTGGGTATTTTGCCTGTAATCTTTCAAAAGGGACTATGATGCCGATTGAAGGGGATGTAGCAAATATGTAAATGAAGCTACGGTAATGAATTACCACACCACATCTGATCTGTTGTGAGTGCAGTGATATCCTGCCTAATAATTTGTGAGGTTCTCTAGAGAGTGTGCTTACTAAATTCACAAATAAGAAGTTGAAAGGGACTGCAAAGCATTAGAGGACAGGATTAGCATTCCGGCAGATCTTCTCATGCTAAGAAGATAATG